TCGGCAGGCCTCGCCACACCTCCCACCCCACCAGTCCCCAGCGCACCACCCAGCACGGCCCTGGGGGCTCCGAACACCCCTTCCCGATCCCTCCTCTCGGGTCCCGGCACCTCTCAGCCCCCGGTGCCACCGCGCTCACCCTTGTTCTCCCGCTGCAGGTCGCGTATCTGCGTGTTCTCCTGGGACAGGGGGGCGTGAGGCCGCAGCCGGGACAAGTCGGTTCGCTCCGCCGCGGGGCCCTGGCCCTGCTGAAGACACGGCGGTCAGCCCGTGCAGCCCCGCGGCCACCCCCCCACCACCAGCCCCACCGGGCTCACCTTCTCGGCCCACGCAGCGCCCGCCTCTCTCATGGCGGCCACTCGCTGGTGCAGGACGGCGGACTGGTCGATGAGCGACTCGGCAGCGGTGTCGTGCTCCTTCAGCCGCTCCAGCAGCGTCCGCGCGTCCGTTAGGATCTTCTCGATAGTGCAGCTCATGGCGCCCGGCTCCTCAGCCCCGCGCCCGCCCCATGACCGGCAGCGTGCGACCCAGCCGCTTCCGCCCCCGGTTACGCGGCGGGTCCGCGTGTGGGTCCGGATCCGGGTTCGGGTCCAGGGTCCAGGGTCGGGCCGGCCCTTTGACGGGGAGCTCGGGGACGCCGCCCTCTTTACTGCTGCGGGCTGGCTCTTAGGAGAAAGGCTGGAGCTGCAGAGCCATCGGCCCCCAGTCGACGCCCGCGACCGTGGCGGCGGAAGCTCAGCCCTGCGTTCTCTCCGCCCCAGAGCGCTGGGACGCGGCGCGATGCGCGCTCCCAGCGGCGGTGCTGCCGAGGGAGCCCGGGCACAGCGCCTCCGGTGCGCACCAGTGCGGTGGGAGAGCAGCGTGCCCAGGCAGCCAAGAAGCCCCCAGCATCCTGGCCTGTACCAGCACCAGTGCGGCAGCAGGGACATGCAGTGACTGTCTCCCTGCACTGGGCACTGGTGAGGCTGCACCTTGAATCCTGTGTTCAGCTCTGGGCCCCTCACTACAAGACAGACCTTGAGATGCTGGAGCGGGGCCAGAGAAGGACACCGGAGCTGGTGCAGGGCCTGGAGCACAAGTGTGATAGGGAACGGCTGAGGGACCTACGGGGGTTCAGTCTGGAGAAGAAAAGGCTCAGGAGGAACCTGATCACTCCCTACAGCTGCCTGACAGGAGAATGGTGCCAGGAGGGGCTGGGCTCTGCTCCCAAGGAACAAAGGATGGGACAAGAGGAAACGGCCTCAAGCTGCACCAGGGCAGGTTTAGGCTGGATATTAGGAACAACTTCTTCCCCAGAGGGTGCTCAGGCATTGGAACAGGCTGCACAGGGCAGCGCTGGAGTCCTCGTCCCTGCAAGTGTTCACACGCAGTGGAGATGAAGCCTCAGTGCCCTGGGTTAGTGGTGGCCTTGGCAGTGCTGGGGAATGGTTGGACTGGATGAGCTTAAAGGGCTTTTCCAACCTGATTGATTCTGTGATTCTGTGTCCCTGACCCGGGGTGCTGTTATCTTCTCCACTTCTGCCTTAGACAGCGCACGATAAACCCAGGCTGAGGGCTGCTGGGCTGCCTGCTTATCTTATGCTCCCATGTGCCCCTCTTCACTGCAAACATCCTCCACTCCAGCTAAAATAACAAGCTGTGCAATGCTGACTTGCTCCTTTGGTATTTATTTGCTAACTAAAGCTACTGTCCGTGATCTGTGATGTCCTTGATGTTTGGCATAACTTTGAGCCACAAAGTTCCTTTATTTTATATCACCAACTTTATCAATCATGTTTTCAACAGTAAGGTTCCCATGGCACTCCCTTTGACTTAAGTCAAAGACTCACAAGACTCACAAGAAAAATCTAGGATGCTTTTCAGATGAAGGTTTCTGTGGGATCCCAGACACCACCAAGCCCAGTGCAGAAGTGCTGAATAAGAGAATTTTATATAAGCAACAATGTCAAAACATTCCTGCAGTCCAGAAGAGGACAGAGTAAGCATCTGCATTTGGAGTGTTTCATCAGAATCAGATTAGTAAGTGAAGTAGGATATAGATTTTGCAAATTTGGGAAGTGTAATGCTGCTTTATAGTAAACTGCATGAACTAAAGGTCCAGACCATGCTTTACACCATGTGTTACCTTCTAGGTCTTCCTTATTTTTCTTCTTGTTAGAGAATACTACAGAGTTAAGACAACATGTTATGAGAATTCCTTTTTTGTAACAGGCAGTTCACGAACATTTGGCAACCCTGCTATGGGGGTTGGAACTAGGCCAGATTGCTCAAAAGCCCTGGTGAGGGATCATTATCCCTCAGCAGAAGCTGCATGTGGGTTGTATGTCTGAATCTCTGGCCTGGCCTGTTCCTTGCCTTTATACTCATGATTTAATAATAGCTTTTCCCTGGCTTTAGAGATGACATCCTGGCCTTTCATGCCAAGTAGAGACAAGCAAAAGAGACAAGGGCCAGCACTGTTCTATCAGACTTTTCAGTTCAGGATCGGTGTAGTTCCTTTCTGGGATTCAGGCTCTTTGAAATAAAATTGTAGAATGAGAATCAGTAAGTCTACTATACTACAGCCACAAAAGCACTAAGTCTTGTGTTCTCACTCTGGGATGCAGCTCACCCCCTCTCCAGCAGATCTTTTGACACAGAATCATTTGTTCAACTTCCATGGGACAGTAGAATAAGTTAGTGTGGCGCCAGGACACTGACTGATCCCACTAGGACAAAACTCCTTGATTTAAATGCTGGGGATGTTTGTCACCAGAAGTTCTAGTATGGAGCAAGAGAGCTTAAACAAATCAACGGATGAGCTTTCTCTGAGTAGTGGTGTTTTATAATTCCTTTGGCTTATCACATCCATTCTGTATAAACTAAAGAGAATGTATAAATTTGGCCTCTCAAACTTTTTAGTGTTTAACTTCAATTCGATTAAACACTTATGTATGTGTACAAAGTGAAAAATGAGGGTACAAGAGGTTAATGCTTTAATGCTTTTAATAACTCTTAACCACATGGCTGTACTTTGTCAAACAGAACATGGATTTGTTCTAGCAGGAACAGTATACGCTAGATAGAAACAAGTTGAGGCTCTCCAAAACAACATTTCTAGGCCATCTTTGAAAAATAATTTATGATTTTTATATTTTAATTTTATAATTAGTATTTATAGTATTTCTGTGATGGAATAAACAGGTTCTTACTCACAGTAGGAAAGTAAAAAGGAAACCTAGCCAGACCTGGAACAGGTTCAGGCATCAGTACAGAGGATGTGAGTGTGCACCAGGGGATGCCCATAACTTACCCAGGAACTGGAGGTGGAATAAATGGTGGATGATAATGCCCAGAGGAATTGATGGGCTGAAAATGGCAACAGCTGCAACAGACCAAGGGGCATCTAAATGCTGAAAATAGATAAAAGAATAAAGGTAAAATTTCTAGGGTAATTCTTGGGTTTCAGGTAAAATCATATTAATCCTAAGTGTGGTCAGCACAGTTTGAGAACCTGTGGCTAAATCTCTGACAGGTCTCACACCATCGTTCTGCAGACACTGGCTTTTCTCATGCTTACTACAAGTCCTTCCTTGAAAAACTTGGTGTCTAACAGCCAAATATATCATCAGCTCCAGTTTGTTTGCAAAGGCCTCTCTCACACCACTCCTCCAACACTTTTTACTGCTGGCTTTTAGAATCGAGTGCTGGTGTTAACACAACCATCAGCTACTGTCACAGTGTCACCGGTATTGTCCTCCACAAAATCCACAGCACATCAGGCCAAGCGAATCCTCCTCTTGTACTTCCCAGCCTGTACTTCCAGGTGTATTACTGCTGCATAAACCCAGAGTCCATCTGTGACAAAAACTATTACCCAGAAACTCAGTCTTATTGTTCATCTCAATTATCCTGATTTGATAAATCTTGAAGAGTCACCCACTGCTTCACAGCACTCACGTTTATGAGTCTAATATTCTTTTTACTATTAAAACAAATGTCCTTAAGATGAAATCCAGGCTAGAAAAAAGGAAAAACATTATCGCTGATAAATGGATATATCCAACTTTTTAAATCTCTCAGCAGCAAGACTTCACTGCTGATAAAATGCTGACCAAAGGATTCCACGATAATTATTGTGGAATGCTTAATACATAATGTCAAGATGTTCTGCTTTTTGGAAATGAGGTCCAGGATTTATCTTCTCTTTGCTGTACCTACAGAGAAATTCTCAGAACACGTGATCCAACAACTGAACCCACCACGTTCAACAGGTACACATCCCATTAAAATAAACCTTTCTTTTTGTTAAAGCCAGGAATGCAGACCAACATGCAGAAGTGCTTAGTCAGGAGGCTTTGTGCCTTCTCTCACCCAGGGTTTAGGTTCATCCATGTCATGAAGAACATCCAAACAGTGCCAGAACCACTGCACCTTTTGAAGATTAATAAACAATCCAGAAGAGGGTGAACAAAAGTTTGCAGGTTTTCCATGAGATCCTTAACAAATTGTAAGTACATGTGGCTCTTGGACTACTTTTTCTTGCCATCTATTTGTCTACCAGTCTATTTTATGCCTCTGAAACATTTTATTTCTCTAAAACAAAAATAGGTAAAGGAACATTTTAGTACCTCAGCTGTGTTGTTAAAGCTCAACTTTCTTTAATATTGTTCCAACAGTTTACTAACTTAATCCCCTGATGATAGGATATAATCTGTATTTCAGTATAACCTTTAACTCACATATAACATCAATGTTGTTATTTGCAATTAGCAAATAGTTTTCCAAAGGCTCCTAGTTTAGTATTTGACTCTCGCTTTCATCATTTAATGATTTACAGTAATGAGCTGGAACATCAGGATTTTTTACTGAAATGGCCAAAATAGTTGTCTAGGCATCGTTGCCCTCCTGTGACAGAACTCAGATGTTTTTGTGGAGAGTTAGCCAAAAGCAATATACAATGCCATGGCTTCTGTTTCATTCTTACTGACAAACAACAACAAAGTGACTGTCAGGACTTGTAGTCAGAGCTTCAGGAGCTTCTGAAGGGCTGTTACTTTGCTGAGATTGTGCCCTTTGTTTAAGTTTTGTTTGACAAGTGCTTTATAAATGAGCAGAAGAGGTGGTTTATGTTTCATTAATGAGGCTGATAGTGGTTAATTACTGAAGTTACGTAAACAGTCCAATACCAGATGAAGCCAAGCGGGTCAGTTATGTAGAGAAGATCCAGCTGGAGTAGGTATGATTTCCTTTAACCAGTTCTTTGTGTGACTGTAGTGGGCTCTCAGGTCTCCCATTTTTATTGTCACACAAACTTTCAAATAGGAGAAGGGGCCTGTTAAAATAATATAAATGTATGTAATTTAACGTGGACCAGTCACCTGGTGTGAATTACTGCATGACTGGACAGCATGTGGGTTGGAGCAAATGACCACAAGGCTAATGCTTAACATGGCACTGCACTTGATTTCTACTATGACTAAGTTTTAGGTTCCTATATTCTTATTTTACAAATTGAATTTATTCTGAATCCATTAGGGTTTATAATACAGACAGAAGGGGAATTAGTTACCTTCTAAAAACCTGAGCTTCAGAATTGAGTTTCCTGAAGGCAATAGGCTTTAAATGCTCGTGTCCCTCAGGCACATTTGAGCAGCTTACTAATAAAGTATCATATCAGAAAAGGTACAAAAAAAAAAAAAGTCAGTAGTATTAAAAGCTAAAGCAAATAGTTCACAAACCCCTGCTTGTTTTTCCAGCTTTCATGGGAAAGGCTGAAAAACTGGATGAAAAGCCAGTGGTGTATGTCAAAGACACTGGCTGCAAAAGAAATCCAAGTTCTAACAATTGTAACGTCTTCACTGTTACTACTGAAGTTTTTGTGATGCCTCAGTAAATTGCTGTATAAGGCTGCTTTTACCAGAAAGACAAATGCGGATCATAATGAAACTTAAAAGATCATTATCTTTGTCAGTACTGGGTAAACAGTACATTCCAGCCCTCTGTCACCACACATCATCAATGTTGGGCATTTGAAAGCTCAGAAAGCCCTGTAAGATGCTCAAACAACACCCATGAGTCAATCTTTTTTGATCCTGAAAGTCAGACTCCAAAGACTAAGAGATTCCTAAATGGTGACAGACTCTGTGGAAATCAGTAGCTTGCTCTTCTCTGGAGCCTATGGAATACAAATGTAACTCTGAAGGGTAATGTTAGCTTGCTATGCCATGAAAACCTATTGTCCCTAAAGACTATTTTAAGTGAATTTGCAGTAACATAACCAACATGGACTGAGTTTTTCCCTTGGACACCTAATTCCATGAAGTCTACAACAGACCCAGGTTTTCCTAATGTAAATCAGGAATTGCTCTTCCACAGAAGAAAAGTGACACCCTTCTGGAAGTAGTATGTTTGCATCTAACCTGCCATGCATCATGTTGGGGAGCAAGCGTAATGACATGATACCTAACAAGAAAATGCCCTACCAGAGATCACATACTTTATCTAGGAAATAAGGAAAACTTATAATTATTCATGTATTATAAATTATTAAGAATAGAAATACCTGGGGGTTTAAGAATGAAATTTTGCAGAAGTAGCAGGAACAGAAGTTGCTAACAGTTGTCTGTTATGGGAGCACATGAGCCTTGTGCTCACTGCATCAGCTCAGGTGTGTCAGAATTAGAACAGGGAGAACCAGGTGAGTGGTTTGTGTTCAGAGATACTGACTTCATCAGTGTTTCCAAAATCAATTCCCAATAACACTGCTGCAGTATTTCTCTGCCCAGGAAACGAACGTTATCCATTTACACACAGACATGGCAACGTTGAACAAGCAAAATGGGAGAATTTAAAATTCTACCAAGAAAGTAGAATATTTAGTAAGTGGACATGGAGAACTCTGGGAAACAGTGACGTGAGGGTCCCATGGCCTCTGTCCCCGATGACCCAGTTATTATTTGATTTATGTGGACTTGCAGCTGCCCTTGCTCTGACCCCAGGAAAGGCTGTGTGGGAAGTTTGTGTCTCCGACTGCAGCATTGCTCTGCGCAGTGTCTGGAGCCTCGTGTATGCTCAGAAACTGATAAATACGGAAAAGGCCCTGTTTGCTCTAGCTGGACTCAGACTTGGAGCAGCGCTGCAGCTCAGTGGACTCAGCTCTGGGAGCCAGAAATTCTGCAACTACTGTGAGTATTTCATGTACTTCCCTGACTGCTCTGGGATTATAAATTGTTGCTCTGGTCATAAATCAATTTGCCATGTGAAAATATTTCAAGCATTGGGCTTTTTTCTTCTTTTTTCCTTCCTTTTTTCCCCCTTTAAACATCTGACTAAATGAAAATAGAAGAGGCTTTTAAATTTGGTATCCTACTGACAAGAATTTGTTACGGCAGTTCTTCGTTTGACATCCAGAGTGAAGTAAAATGACTTTTAAATTCCATTATCTGTTTCCCTTCCCCAAAGTACCTGGAAAACGCTAAGTTCCAAACAACCTCTAAACTCTTATTTTACAATGTATAAAGATGATACCTTTGAAATAATCATTCATGGGGTAGCAATTCCAAAGGATGATCTCAAGATAATTCCAACACAGTCCATTAGTGAAATAAGTCAATTCTTATTATGGTGATTATATGACAAGGAAAGGATATATTTAATGAGAAGTGGGATTTCTTCAAACAGCAGCTTTGGGGAGCTTCTTGGAACATTAAAACTGGGAGAAACAGATATAACCTTAATAATGCATGTAAGCTGCATATAGGATGGATCAAGTGATCCTACAACTTAAGCTGTGAAAGAATTAATGACAGTAATCAGTGATTGCTGAATTGCTTGAGTGAAACTAAATAGCTCATCTGGCAGTAAGCATATTGACACCGACTGTGCTCAGTTATCATTTGTTTCAGGTTTTGGTTTAAATTTCACAAATGAAAAAACTAAGTTATGCTTTCCATAACCAAAAAAGAGTCCAGTGATTAGCACCAAGCCTGAAATATGCTATCTGGCTGTACTGCATGATCAGTAACGTGCCACAAGGTGTGTTAAATAAAGGTTGGAGACCTTCAGCTTGAGTTCCTAAAATTCCCAGTAAACAAGAGATTTCCCTATGACTCAACTGTCAAAATATTTACTATAGCAGTTGAAGTACTGTCAATACATACCTCTTAAAGATGACCCAGAGCCTTTTCTACAAGTAGATTTTGCATGTTAACAAATTTGATAATATAAGTTAATATGTTACTTTATAATACTGTATTTTAGAGCAATAGAAACGGTAAAAACATCTTTCACCATAAATAACAATGGATACATGTACTGTATGTTCCAGTCTGAACGTGTACATTCTGTTAAGTGTCTGCTTTGTGATTCTACGTTACTTTTATCAATTATTGGGTTTTGTTTTCTTTTCTTTACTGGCTTCCATCTTCTTTAATAAATTGAGAAGTCATTCAGGCAGGACTAAGAACCGAATGTTGGTGAATTTCTGTATTAGACAGGTAATCAACCCGTTGAATCAACATCCACTCCAGTTTATACTGAACATTAGTAGTTCAGAAGACTGATTATTGTCAAAACTAAGCCTGGAAAAGTGGAACATTTTCAGATGCGCTTAAGCAACCTACAGCCTAGGACACATATTCTGGGAAAAAAGGAAAAAACCTATAACTCCACTTATACACTTACAGAGACTTTTAAAATTGAAACCAAACAGATACGACACACCCCCCTTCAGGATTTCGCACATGAAAATAGCAAGCTGAAATAGCACCTCAGAAGTAACTGAAAAGAAGGAAAAGCAGGGAATAGCTTTTATGCAGATGACATTTTTTTTCAGGTCAGTATGTCTGGCTGAAGACTAAAGACTTTAATCCTCTGTTACTACTTGTAATTTTATGAAACAAGTTACTAAAAAAATCTTTTTGTTTCAGTTCCACTTTTTAAGCTAAAGACCTTTATGAACCATCTTTTCAATTACAGAATCATAAGGATTGCAAGATCATCTAGTTCCAACCCCCAAATGTATTTCTTTCTTTTTGCTTCCTTTTTAAAGCACACTTATACAAAACATATAGTTGTATTTTGAGTCAACAGAAAAGAGAAAAATGAGCACAAAATATTTTGGTTTGGAACCAGCATGACTGTAACTGCCCCAAGCCCCCAGAGCTCTCCGCCAACCTCACTTCAACTTTGTCCAAGTGATTATGTTTTGAAAGTTACAATCAGGCACGTACTACATTCTGTCCAGGATTCCACAGCCTCCAGTGTAGAGCTGAGCTCTGCGTGTGTGCAGGATTTACTTGCCTACATGGCAAAGGATTACTGAATATGTGTGGGCTGAAGAAGTGTCCTTTAGGTCACTGTTCACTCCCATGAGGTGAGATTAGGGACAGCTACTGAGCTTCTGTTCTTTCAGCAACTTCTTAAGTTTGGAAGAGGTTTCCCTACCTCTAACAGACTCACACAAAGGGCAAGGCAAAGGTTGCAACACATGACTACAACAGTCGATCTTAGAAATAAACGAAAATTATCCTGTCCTAGAAAATTAAGTTCCTACTTTACACATCTTAATCTGATCTTTATATTTTTTGTTTTAAAAAGCCCAATGCAATTTTATATCAGGAAAACAAATTTGTTAACAGTGAACTCTAGAGTGTCAGAAAATGAAACAGGGACATTCATATGCAAGCATGACCATTACTCTTGTTTCAGGACAGTACAGCATTCTTCAAATAACCACTGGATTTACTATTTACTATTTACTATTTGCTATAATGTTCTCTTAATTTAAGAGTTTTAATTTACAAAGTCTTGTTCTAAGCTGTGAATTCTGTAGTTGCAACTGATAACTTTTGTTAGCCAGAAAAAATCAGTAAGAAAGGCTAAATCTTCAAATCTGTTCCTAATATAATATTGAAGTTGAGGGAACTTTGCCTAATCAAAGCCTGCTTCCAAGATTTAGAATATTTTATCAACCCATCACCTTGTGTTTGGCCATATGTACTTCATACTTCCAATATAATACTTTTCAGACTGGGTTGGTGTAATTTTGTATTAGCTTCTGTTCTTCTATTATCTTTATTTAAAGAACTACTGGAATCCAGAAGCACATTTAAGCAAATACACATTTTTGGGGAAAAATGTAGACTTTGCCCAGGCCAAACTGATCTAACTGATAAGGACCTCATGATTCAGTGAGTCACTTCTTTCTCAAACAAATATTTACTAACAGAGATAACAAAAACCCCCCAGCATTCCAGCCTCACTGCATCGTTTCACCTTCTGCTAACAACACAAACAGGAAGTGTTCAGTTCCAGAGATTAGTCCAGTTTTGGGGGAAGGGGTATATGTCGTTCAAGAAGTACACTTCCTTACAGTGAAAGTCAAAGCATCCAACTGGAGCCCAGGGTCCTTCACTAACCAAGGGGCAGCGAAAAGCTCTCTAGAGGGCAATACATCCTATAGGAAATTTATGTGTTTTGGTCTTCACAGGATGCTTTTTACTTTTTAAGGAATACAGGCTCTTAAATGTAGATCAGGCAGTGCTTAAATGAGGCAAAGCTGACTTTTACTGCATAAAAGAGTATTTACGTGGGGATGAAGATATTCTATTCTGGACAGGCTGTTTTCTTCTATTTACTTCAGATCTGAGGAAGAAGTGAATGAAGCAAATTCACTAAAAGCCCATGTTTGTGCAGAAACAGAACATCCACCACATCCACATCAGTGCAAATGCCCGAACTTATTCTGGAAGCAAGTTTTCTCTATCCAGCAAAGCTCCTTTTAATCTCTTCCTGAACTAGAAAATTTACCAATGATCAGTCTGATTCCCCCACACGGTTTTGTGTAAAATTCAGAGCAAAACAGTTCTAACTATAACTTGCACATTTAGGAATGTTCTCTATCCTGAATCTGTACTGTTAGGAAAAGGAAATATTTTGCAACCTCTTTGAAAGTATTATGTGACTTCACAGATTTTCTTATGATCTGAAAATGTTCCATATTCTGGAGTTTTTTGGGTTTAGCTCTGTAGCTAACCCTATCCAGCAGTTTTTTCTCGCATGATTATTTCTCTTACTTTTCCATTTCTCTAGGTTGCCTTCTGAAAGTCTATGACATAGCAAAGTGAAAGAAAGAGTGCAGTTGGGAGCAGAACATGGCAAATACATTTGTCACTGTACCGGATGGGTATTGTCTGCCTGAGCCTATCCAGTATTATGGTGAGTAAAAGCAAAACTTCTGTATTATGAAAAAGCAATATGGAAAGTGAACATCTGCAGGAATTCCTATTATTTTCTTCATTTTAGTTTGTCTTTACAAGCTTTTAGAAGCTACACATTTGTCTATCAAGCTGACACTGAAAATGAAAAGTATTAGCATGTGCTCAGACATAGGTACACAAGACAATCATGCTGACTGATCATTCTGCAGAAACATTACTGCTGCTTTCTCCCTTTGACTTGCATGAGGAAGATAGAAGGTTTATTGCAGTATTACAGACACATTATAAATAGATAAAGGTTATTCTATACGTTATATAATTGCAATAACTAATTTGATTATGGAAGAGGAAAAATAGATCTCAAAGCCCATTAAAAAAAACCTCCAAACTGCTTAAAAACCAAACCAAAACCAAAACCAACCCCAAATAAACCCACAACAAACTTCCAATTTGTGTTTACAGAGATTTACAATTCCAAAGGAAGACTGAAATATGATGCATGTTGCACAAGCTTTCTTCAGTATAGCTGTGTGCATTTAAGGAAGGTTAGATAAAATTAACAACAGAGGCAGGAAGAAGCACTCTTCACAATTCTGTACCTATATTTTGCCAAGATGAAACTTAATTGTAAGGGATTATAAGTGGAAAAATGCTAAATAAAGCAAGCCTGTGCTTCTCACTCAACTGAATTTCAACTTTAAGTCTCCTGTCATAGCAATTTTTACCCCTCTAATTTCTGGACCATCCTGCTCAGACTCTTGTGCAACACTTCCAGAATTATGCATGAAATATGTATTCATAACAAACACTTCACTTGCTTATGGGAAATATTCTGTAATGTGGACAACTAATAAGAACAACCATTAAGTGTAATACCATCAGCTGACAAGTGGTAATTATGTCCCAGTAAGAATCCACTGGCACCCACATGACATGGCCCGAACTGTTACCAAGCCATTTCTACTACATCTAAGATTCTAGTTAAAAACGTTGCCGGTAGCACATTTAAAAAGAAATTATCAGACTCATCTTCTGAAAATGTGTTCCTCTATTATTTGTTATTAAATTTTTAATCTATAAAACATTCTAAGACTTTTAAATAGCTGATGTAGACATATTGTTCAGTTTTTTATTTCATTTCCAATTTCTTCTGTATCTAGATGTTCTGCCAGAGCACATCAACTATCAGCTGCAAGACACTGATTTTCAGACTGCTCCTTACTGCCAATACTCAACAGCTCAAATTCCTCCTCCAGTATTACAGTCCCCACCTTCCCACTCCCAGTACAGCACGTACAGCCTGGACTCTCAGTACAGTGATGGGCAATGTGTCATCAGCAGCTGTGAATTAAGCAAACCCCCTTTCATAGCACCCCATATGGATGATGGTGGATACCAAACATTAAAACGGCCAAGATTAAACCACTCTTCTTTGAGCCTGAACAGACAGGAGGAGTTGTGTTTGGTGTGTGGTGACAAGGCCTCAGGCTATCACTACAATGCACTTACCTGTGAAGGCTGCAAAGGTAAGAAGAAAACAGGCTAGGCAGGACCCTGGGCCCACAGTGCTCAACAGTGTTCCACATCTGTTATTTAAGCAAACAGATTTTCATTGGTTTTTAAGGTGGTGTTTCTACAGAGGATTTTAACTTACCAAAGAAATCTTTTATCTAAGATGCTTACTCCAGATTCCCATTTTATACCATTTTTTGAAAAAACGCTTTCACAGTGTCTGTTTAATATGAGCATTTCATTTGTGCATTGATTGTTCACTAGAATAGTGTCAGTTTAAGCAGGTGCTGATTTTCTGATGCCCATTTATTGTAGATTTATTTCAGTGTTACTAACTTTACTTATTTTTAAAATGAGATAAACCCAAGTAATAATTACTTGCTACTGATTTTAACTTTCTGTGTGGGGGCTGTCTTGACCAGGTAAGGAACACGGCAATTAATATTCACCAGAAAGTACAAGACATAACTGTGTTGCTAAAAAAGCAAACTTCAAATCAAGGTAATGTTTCCATTGTAAAATAAACAAACAAAACCCCAAAAGACGTTTACTTCTTTAAATCATTATGAGATAAAGCTCCTTAGAGATAAATTCGTTCAGCCATAACCTGATCCTTGTCTGCAGGCTTCTTTCGACGCAGCATAACCAAAAATGCAGTATATCGATGCAAGAATGGTGGTCACTGTGAAATGGACATGTACATGCGAAGGAAGTGCCAGGAATGTCGCCTGAAGAAGTGTAAAGCTGTGGGAATGCTAGCAGAATGTAAGTGCTCCTTTCAAGCTGGCTCCTTTACTCATCAACTCCATAAAAACTTTTCCAAAGCAAATCCCTTTTCCTCATCAAAGCTAAATGGTGTTCTAAACCTCATTTAGCTGTAGGAAGATTGAACTTTGGAGTCTGTGGCACCTGTAGCATCTTTATTTGCAGAAACCACCAGTGCTCGGGAAGTATCTCCTGAAGTTAAGAGGCTATTCAAAGACATTACAAGAAAGCACTAACCAGAGACAACTAAACACCCTGAACCTTGACAGGGCAGTAGGAAGCCTATCAGATGTGCTTTTGTGCTTGGAAAAAGTTATTATAGTCTTCATGAAAAATTCTTATGTTTTATCACAGAGCCACAAGCAAGAAGCCTGCAAACACTGAGGCCTTTGGAGGATACTAAACACTAACTCATCTAATGAATAACATGTTGCCATATTCTCTAGCAAGCATAGTTCCTTATAGGTGACTGCTCCTGTGATGAAAAGACTTGTGTTAGCTCTATTAATAAGTGATTATTTCAAATTGTAATTATTTGAAAATACACATATTGACACACACTTCCATGCCTCACAGGTTTGCTGACTGAAGTACAATGCAAGTCAAAGCGGCTCAGAAAGAATTTCAAACAGAAGAGCAGTTTTCTTTACAATATAAAGCTGGAAGATGAGGGGGTGAATAGTAAACACGTATCATCTACAACAAGATCTGGAAAAGTGGGATATTTTTCTATTTAAAAGATCTCTTTTTATCATTTATTTTTGCCTTAAGTAATTATCACCTCATTGGCTTTTTTTTTTTTTTTTTTTAACAGATCCCAGAGAAGATGGAACTTACTCCAAGGGAGCATCAGCTTCTGGACCACATCGTAGCAGCACACCAAAAATACACAATTCCCCTGGAGGAAGCAAAGAAGTTTGTATGTACACAGAACAATCAACCTGTGTTGCTAAGTTCTTACCCTAAGCACTGCACCCTGGTTATATCAGATGTCTAACTGCTCTTTCATGCAGCTACAAGAAACTGCAAGTCCTGAGGAAAGTTTTCTCCATCTCTCTGAGACAGCAGTCATCCATGTACAAGTGTTAGTGGATTTCACAAAAAGACTTCCAGGCAAGTTTCTTCCTTTGGGAAATATTGTAGAACAGTGTGACACTTTTTCTTCCCAAGAGACAGGAACTATACTGATGGCATGAATCTAAGAATACCACAGGCTTTAAGAAAACTCTCATTCCACTGACCAGTTTTTCTTCCAAATCTAATGATCAGGGTTACCATTTACTTGCCACAAGGACACGTTAGAAGGATTCACTTCAAAAGATTGCTAGGATTAGATTTTTCTTTTTCTGACATGGAGTAGAGACATTTTCTGAAAGTACATGCACGGCAAACTACCATCCTGAGTGAATTACTATTTCAACACATTTTGAAATCCAGTTCAGTGTGCAATTTATCATAATCAAAGAAAAAAACAGATGTTCCTTCAAAGGAAAACACAGCACAGAAGGGACTAACCAGCTCCTATTCATATTTTCCTTTAATAAAGGACAAGGGAACATGCAATTAAATTTCAGTATGAAGTTGACAAACATTTGGCTGGGAGGGTGATAATTCTTTCATTGCTGTAAGTTGTAAAACTTACTGAGAAAAGCCAATCAGCATGTCTAAAGTAGGTATTTGATGTAATTTAGCACTACTGTGGAACAGATCTGAAAGAACAGATGAGCTCTTTTCCTTTGTTACATATTCTGCTTTGATCAGGACAAAGAAAAGAATCAATAAAGTTCCTTTACTCTTGAATTCTAAGTGCAGACCATAAGCTTGTCAAAAGATGAACATGACTTTTAAAAAGTTCAGATACTAATAAATAAGGAAAATAAATATCCACAATCACTAAGTGATGTTGCAAATTTAAAAAGTATTAGGTGTAAGAACACGTGAAGAACTTCTTCCTTATATCTAACCAGCTATTAAGAAGAAATTTTGCTTAAAGGCAGCCACAGGCTTCTTTGATTCTTAACATGTATCTTTCTCTGCAGGATTTGAAAGTTTAGCTAGTGAAGATCAGATTGCGCTGCTAAAAGGGTCAACAGTTGAGGCGATGTTTTTGCGTTCAGCCCAAATATACAACCAAAGAATCAGTGAATGCCAACCATCAACAAGTGAAAGTAAGTTTGACTAACAAGCTTCATACTAACACCAGGAGGAGGTGCTGCCAATTTGAAAAAACTTCATTCATTTTAACTGACTGAAATAATTTCCTATAACTATACTGGTACTTAACAATAGTGCCAGTTATGCTTACATACCTTCTATTGGCTTTTTATCCCCAAAGATCAGTAAAATAAAATAAAAATCAATTGAATCTCTGTTTTCCTCTCATTAGTTGCAAATAAAGAGCAACATTTTTGAGTGCTAGCACAAGTTGTGGGGTGGATGGATGGATAATATTAGCTATATTAATGATGTATTAGATGCTGTGTCAAGAAATTTGGACCAACAGTAACGCAATCAATAAACTTAGTGCTGGATACTAAAAAGAACATTTTTTTTCTGCCTGTATGGATCTGGGACAAGTTCACACATTTTTGTGTATATATTTGAAAAGCCAATGCAGAAATATATTTAAAGTCACATTAAACTTATCTGGGAGCTGTCACCTGTCTTGTTCCAGGTCACGTAAGGCTTTCTGATCATGCAACATATTATCACATTCAAAACCTTGATAGAAACAACGTTTACTCCACGGGAATGTCTCACAATGAAGAGAGTCCAACTTCCACTACTACCACAGGTAATGAAGGTCTCAGAATCAAAATACCTGGGAGTCTTACTTTGCTGGCCCTGTTCTCGATCACACGGAGCAACAGCTGCTGTGGCCACTGCTCATTCTCTTCTCCTCTTCCTCTCCATTCCCTTAAGCTGCTGTTAACGCACAGGCACTACATCCTCGTGGAAGGCAGAGGTTCATTTGCTTGCATCCTAAAATAAAGCCTTGAGCTGTATATCGAAAGCTGCACAACACAACTGCAATACAAGTTCTATTACTACTTAGAAATCAACATTGTTTTCACTACTTTGCTAAAGATTTCATGCAATAGAACAGCCTGGAGCCTTAGATTTGTAAGAGCAGTGTCTGTTTCTGCATGGAAGTAACATTCTGGTTATTTTATTTATTAGGTATAACCGAGGAGTTTATTACCGCGCTGTTTTACTTCTACAGAAGCATGGGTGAACTGAAAGTGACCGAGACCGAATACGCCCTCCTCGTAGCAACGACGGTGTTCTTTTCAGGTAATGCGAGCTTTGGCTCGCCCCCGGCGCTGCCCGCCCTCACCCACCGAGCCCCCGGGTGCGGAACCGCACCGCTCCCGCTCACTGCTCTCTCGCCGCGCTCCTACAGACCGCCCGCTCCTGAGGAACAAGCGGCACGTCGAAGAGCTGCAGGAGCCGCTCCTGGGCCTCCTCTATAAGTACTCCAAGATACATCATCCCGAGGACCCCCAGCATTTCGCCCGCCTGATCGGCCGCCTCACAGAACTACGCACCCTCAACCATACCCACGCGGAGGTGCTGGTGACCCGGAGAACCAAGAACCCGCGTCTCACGCCGCTGCTCTGCGAGATCTGGGACCTGCACTAGGCGAGCCCATCCGGACCCTCGCCGCTCCCCTCAGGATCGCTCCTCCTGGGAACCGCTCCGCCTGTAGCCGCCTCACCGGCCCGGGCGAGCGCCCTGCCCGCAGCCACCTCCCCTCCCGCCTCGGGCGCGCGCTGCCCCCTTCCCGCCTTTCTGCCGTCCCTCAGCAGACGGGGCCCGGAGCGGCAGTCATGAGGCGCTGCCGGTGACGGCCCCCTCTTACTCCGCGAGGCCATGGAGAAAGAAAAGCCGTTCAAATTGTTCGTGCCGCCGCGCCTGAGCAGCGGCCAAGTGTCTGCAGTCAAACCCCAGGCGAGCGCTCGGGCGGCGGGGCTGTGTCAGGTAAACGGCGTTGCCGCCTGCCTTACCGTGTCGCTCTGGAGGCGACGGCTGAGGAGCGGGGTGGGAACGGTGAAAGAGTGGAGGGTCTTCTGAGGAGCAACCAGGCTCTCCAGTCCTGAACCTCCCTCCCGGAAAGCACATGCATGTAAATACGTGAAGTGTGGGCGCTGAACTCGTTTTTCTGCGAACTGTTGAGATTGGTGCTGGGGGGGGTGGAGGGGGTGGGGTGTGAACATCTCAAGTTTTAATTTCAATACTTTTACCTTTTTTTCCTATCGAAATTGAAAAGAATCACCTTTCGAGCATCTGTTGTGTATTTTAACTGTGCGTCACCAGTGATGAAACATGTCTGACGTGGGCAATTCGGGTAATAAGTGGGATGCACACCACTCAGATACCCCTACTGGCTTTGATTTATTGGTCCGGCCAGATCAAGCGTGCAGAGAAATGTTCTGTCTATGCTCTGAGAATTCAACAAGATACTTTCTCATGTTTAGGTGCCTCATGAAATAAGTTTAGATTCCAGTGTGATATTCTGACAGGAGATGAGTTACACTATTTACAAGGCAAATTTCTGTGATGCTTTATAAAATGGAATGTTCATGCTAAAACATAAGCAGGTGTGTTTTAGAAGTACTTTTGGGAGTAAAGTAAAATATCAGTATCAAATACTGGACAAGGGGGGGGAATCAAATTGCTTAATGAGTCCTTTGCCATGAACTGTGTACAGGCATGCAGCAGCTAATAAATTCTTGTCATCAAAAGCTTCCACATTGGCCACAGCATAGTCTGTAAAACAATCGACGTAAGACTAACAGTTTGAAAAGCCACTGTGAAGTAAGAATTACATGAGAGTGCCAAAGCCATTACCAATACCTTGGACTTTGCAAATTGTGGACAGTTGATGGATTAACGAAAAGTCTATTTTCATGTTAGCTCATGTAATTTTTTTTCCTGGTTTTTATAATCCTTCTTTACAAATCTACATATCAGAAACTATTTTTTTAATTTGTGCAGGGTTTTAACAAATGCCCAGATGATGATTTTATTTTGCCGTTTGTAATGGGTACACCAAACCGTGGTGAAATCACTGACCCTGGTAAGCCTAAAATGAGCCATTTACTTGGAACATTCTTCATATATTTTTCATATAGTTGTCATTTTTCATGTGCTGTTTATCAATTTCATAGCTGGAACTCTTATAAATACAGTCCCACTGTTATTTTTTATTAGATACATTGATCAAAATCTCTGTAATGTTTCAGATGCCATTTCACAGGAAGTAAAACTTGGCTCTGAGGTAGATGAAGAGGTCAGATAAGTATAAACTCTGTTTATCTCATTTCCTAGGGCCTCTTAATTTGTTCTCGAAACACTGTCTAAAGCACTATTCAGTAGATACTTCAGGGCTAAAGGGAGTAGCCAGAGGGGAATAATAATTTTTTGTCTTCTGTTTAAAGCTGAGTCACATAGAGAAGGTATTTGTGATTCAGCGGAAAAAAACCTTTACATATTAAGGTGATCTTTTTTTTTTTTTTTTTTTTTTAAGGGCCTGGTAGGTCTGTGAGTTTTAATCAGAAAAAGGTTTAGGCACTGAAGTATCTTTGTGAAATTGGTTCTGAATATTTTGAAAGGCAGAAGGATTGAAGTCAAAGCATTCTTTGGAGAATTGAAGCAGATTATCCCAATTGCCTTGTCTGGCTTTATTTTATCTATAAAACAATGAATTTAGTGGAGGGGTTTCCTCAAGCATTTGATTCTTCTTACAGCATCTCTACCAATGTTTCTCTGCTTTAGTGAAACTCAGTAAAGCTATTTAGTTTTTTTGCAGTAGCTTCCTGTGCTTTCCAGATACAAAATGCTGCGTGCTGCAACAAAATGGAACAAATATTCTTGAAGTCCTCCTAAAGATTTTCATATCCCTGAGGACTAAACTTCTTTTAGTCCTAGTAGCTATTAAAGTCAGGACTCATTTTACAATACCATGGTGCAGCCAAAACGTGTAGTGTTAAGTGACATCATACCTCAAACAAGCTGCAGATCTGCCTTGTGGTCTGTGTACTATTAACTGCCTGAGCCACTGAATGAATGTTCCTTGTACAGTGCTTTAAAGACATTCAAAGAGCACAAAGTTGGTTGCTTTTTCTTCCTGCTTTATGTATGAGTTAACAGCAAAAACTTATCACAGGTAGTCCTGGACAAGATCTCTGAAGCAGTTTAACTTAACTCAACAGTATCTCTTGAAGTAAGAAGAGGGAAATGGTGCGCAGAATGGGAGGAATCCTGCCTCTACTGATCATTATAGCAAAACTTTTATTGACTTTTGATGGAGTGCATTTAACTGTATCTTTAAGAATATCTGTTTAGCAATGTCAGTGTATCTGAGGGCAGTGGGGTATTTTTCACTTTTGTTTTTGAGTCCTACTTGTTTTGTGATGTGCAGTACATGCACAGAGGATGCACAAAGAATTAAACCTTGGTTCTTAATAAGCTTGTGTCGCCATCTGTGGAAAAGGAATTACTCCTGTGATATTTCTAAGAGATAAATACCTATCTACAACATTATTAATTAAATAGCATTTGAGATTAAATTGTGGAATTTGTTTTAATAGAATGTAGAAACAGTGAATGAGTTGTACTCAAAACTCTATAAAGAGGCTGAGAAGATCAAGCGATGGAAACTAACTGTAGAGTCAGAACTAAAGCAGAAAGAAAGAAAACTGCAGGAAAACAGAAAGATTATTGAAGCACAACGTAAAGCCATTCAGGAATTGCAGGCCAGTATTGTACCATATCCACTGAACATGTAAAGAGAAAGTTCTTCCTGTTGTAGTATGAAAATATTAATGTGATTAAATATTTAAGAATGTTGCAGAGGTTGAAGTATTTTTGAACTTTCAATGTGATGACTTCAAAGAAACCATTTGACTGGGTACCAGTGACCTATTGCTGTTATTAAAGGAAAAAGTAACATTTTGGTTTCTAAAAATAGTTTTCCTCATTTTAACACTGTGCATTCCATCTTTGTATTATTTACATACTCATCATACTGTGAGTGTGCTGAAACCTGTTCAAGACTCAGTAAGTTTTGATCTTCCTTGTAGCTGTAAAGTATGCTCGTGCTTTTTTCAACATATACAGGAAATGCACTCTGCTTTATCCTAGTTTCTAATCTTGTTGGTAGTGATGGACACCTTTGTGACTGAAATACGTATTTAAAACTATTTATTTGTCTTTCTTTTTTGTTGTTGTTGTTTGTTTGCATTGGTTCTGTGACTGAGTTGTCTCTGATTGCTGGGCTTTTGCTTTGAGAAAATGATTATTCTGAGAAAGGGTGTGCACCTGTAGCGTGTGAATGTGTGGATGAACAACATACCTGTGAGGGTTTCAGTTACTGGTAAATTATTGTTTATTGTTAACATCTTTCATGCCAACTGTAACAAAAGATGGTTCAGTATCTAGTGCCCGATAAAATGGGTTTTACTGTCTTCTGATGCAGAAAATTACTTTTCCATGTGAGATCTGAGAAGGGAGTGTATTTCTAGTGCATTTTCCAGTAACAGTGTGGTTTTTTGTTTGTTCCCTATGAAATTAGTTTGAAAATGAAAAGCTAAGTTTAAAACTGGAAGATGAGATATCTGAAAATAAAGATCTCTTAAAAGAGTAAGTAATACAGTCAGATATATTTTTATGAAAATAATTTGTTTTCATGCTGAGAACTGTGCTAGTAGCTGTTAAATCATAAAGCTCATCAGGGCATTTACAGTGTTAGTACTTAGGTATGCAAGTACGGTGCATTCCTGTGACAACATACTATGGTATTTTTTCCCTTTTCTAGAAACAGCGCCTCAAGGCATTTGTGTAACCTGCTTAAGGAAACCTGTACTCACTTCACAGAGAAGTCCACCAAATGTAAATGCTGTTTAAATTTTGATTTGTTGAAGTAAAGGTACTTCCAGCTTTCTCTAATCTAACAAAGGAAAGAAGCTGTCATTCAACTGCAAATCTGTTTCCTGGTTGAGATAAACTGTATGTGACTGCATCAGAGCAAGATTAGAAGTGAAGC